AGCCACACCTGGCAAAATATATTTTTTAAAAGGATGTTTTTCAAAACACCATGAAAGTAGGATGGGGACTTAGTGGGAGGAAGGGGTTGGTGGTGGTAAGAGGGGACAGAGGGACCAGAGTGGAACCAGAATGTGTGTACACATATGAAACTGTCAAAACAGATTAATAAAAAATGATGTTTTAAAAAGTCAGCTTATAATCACAAGAATTAAAAATGACCCGCTTTTGACATTGACAGTTGTGATGGTGCAGTTTCATAATCTGATATATTATGACATGTACATAGACACGACTCTAAGCAACAGCAAATTCAATCCTTAGGTCATTGATACAATTAAATAGAGAAAAATTACCCAAATATATTTTTATTTCCTTCAAACAAATTCTTCACTAACAAATATGATTCAATATGCATTACTAAAATCCTTATATATTTTTTATTTTTAAAAAAAGGTCTTACAACTAGTCTTTTTCCAGAACCAAGTTTTTGCTGTTCAGTCTCTTGTTTCTTGTCCACATCTGTTGCAAAAGCAAGTACTTGGTACCTGTGTGAAAGAAACAGCAAAGGATGAGTGACTGTGTAACTTTAAAAGTAGAGGTCATTTTAAACTTTAGAGGCACATAATTGATAAACACTATGAATGGTATTTTTTCATTCTAAAATCTGTATTTCTTTAGATTAAATTCTGAGTTATATTATGACATATGTAAAATTGTCATGATGTATAAATTATACCCACATGTCCCAATTATCCATTGTTCTGAAGCCGGCTGTACTAACAAAGCCCTCGATAGAATTTATGTAGTAAATCACATGCAAGAAAGACCTAGTGCCTAAACAACAAATAGACAGCAACACCTTTAAACAACACAAAATAGTCACAAGTAGTAGAAATTATTAATACATACTCTATGGAACTGAGAAGAACTAAGTTTAATTACTCACTGTGAATGAATTTTGTCAAATTAATCACTGTCTTAGCTTCACAGTTATAAAATGAAAATAATCATCTAACTTGTTAAAAAGGATTTAAAAACAATTTTAAAGTGCTTAGTGTAGTATTTGGTATATACGTGTTGCTTAGGCCTTACAAAAATGTTGGAGGCTAAAATGTTTCAGAGTTTAGAGTCTGTTGAGGGGTTATGAATATTTTCAGACTTTAAAATTGAGAATTTATAATGCTAAAATTCCATAGTCCTCCAAAATTCAAACCTTTTTCAGGATGATGACAGTGCTCAAAAAGTTTTAGATAACAGAGCATTTGAAATTTGGGGTTTTCAGACCAAGGAGGCTAAATCTATATTAGAGTCCCAATTATTGATTAAAAGGCTGACAAAGAGACAGACACAGCTTTATAGAGAGACAGAGAAATCAATGATTCATCAGGTATGTGATACATTCTCAATAATGGCCATCATGAATGACCTAAAAATGTTTTACACTTCCTACTTCAATGGTAACATATAGCTCAGAACATTCTTTAACACAATTTATAATATCATTCAATCTAGAAATCATTGTTATTGGACTGGAGAGATGGCTCAGCAGTTAAGAACATTTGGTATTCTTCCAGAGGACACAGGCTCAATTCCTAGCACCCACATAGTGGCTAATAACTGTCCATAACTCCAGTTCCAGGGGAATCTGACACCTTCAAGCCCATACAGATATTGCATGCACATGATGTACTTATAAAAATGCAAGCAAAATACTCAAACACATAAAATAATCAATAAAATGTTTTTAAAGAAATAATTGTTATCCAATAAAGTTTAAGCTATTTTCTTTCTCATTAATTAAAGAGATATTTTTAGAATCATTTTTAGACTTTTTTACAATAAAAAAATCTATAAAATAATGAAAAAACTTCAAAGAAACTGATTCCTTTCCCCCTTACTAATTCCAAATCATTGTATTTTTCCTCCAGAGCTAAGATGAAAACTTAAAAACAGATAAATTCAGACAACTCATATTGTCCAAGACAAACACATCTGAGAATGCGAAGTCCACAGCCCTGAATGAAGAGAATATAGAAGAATGACCCCTGAAACACACAGTCCAGGGGCTAGGGATGCCGCTCAGCAGCAGAGCACTTACCTAGTATGTGCAATGTACAATCTGAAATGCATAGTTTCCTCAAATGTCTATGATTTGAATTCACCCCCAAAAGCATGTGTCAGAAATTCAATCCCCGATGTGACAGGGTTGAAAAGAGGCACTGAATGGGAAGTCATTAGATCTCGACTTTCTTGAGTGGATCAACAGCAGTTACTGAAGAACTTGAGGTCTCAAGATTCTTTTCTGACACTCTCTTCTACATATTCTTTTGTGCTTCCACCAAAAGAAGACACAACAAGAGGCCCTCACCAGATTATCAGCCCAATGACTAAACTTCAACATGACTAGAATTATAAGGAATAAATCTCTGTTCTTTATAAATTGCCCAATCTTAGATATTCTCTTCTAGTAGCAAAAATAGTCTAAGACATATACCAACTCCATACCACCCCATCTCAATCAGGAATAACTCCTTTGTAAAAAGCCTCCAATTTCAGCAGGATGCCAAAATGACTATAAATGAAGACAGACTTTTTAAGGGGAAAGAAGTTGATAAGAAACTACAGTCGATTACCAAAAAATGAGCTTATAATTAAAATGAAACCTAAATGTATATGAACTCTGTTGGTTTATAAATATACAGACAAGAACCATATCAGGAAATAACAGTGGGGTGAAGTACTACATAAATCATCAGAAGCTTCCAAACTAGTTGTGGGGGTTTGCGTAGAGACAGCTAAGCCTGTCCCAGGGTGCCTGGGGCTCACAGACAGTACGGGCACAGTAACAGGGTCCATGATGGCAGAATGAACTCACTGGGCTTAGGAGAAAAGACTCTTGGTGTACATCAGAGGAGAAGGCTGGTTAAAGACTGAGTAAACCCTAACCAAGCTGGCGGGGGGTGGGAAAAGGTAGTATGGCAAAGGAAACAACACTTGCAAAGGCTTGTAGCATGAGAGACATGAAAGGCCACAGCAGTTTAGGAGAGAGGCGTGGCAAGGCAGAGTGAGTCATGGGAAAGAAGACAGAAAACAGTAGGAGGGAGATCTCAGCCTTGTAAAATGCTTAAAAATAACATGGGCGGCTGCAGTCAAGGTCTACACGTTAATTTTAAACTGACCTTCAAAATCCCAAAGTGACAAAAGTGGAAAAAAACTCATCTCTCAAATTCTAACTCCTAAATAGAATTGTCTTCCTTTTCCCAGTTCAAAGGGACAGAAATAGTGTGCACTCATGACCAGAACTGCATCCCAGTGCTGGTCTTACTATAGATCTAACCCCAGGCAAGTAATTACACAGGTGGTTTATTTCCTGTAGACTCCACCCTACCAGAGGATGATACGGATATTAATGAGATTGTTGCAAAAATCCAAAGCTCCTTGAGCTGTTTGAAGCTCCTTATATAACTACAAAGAGTTATTATTTCATCTAAGGACTAAGTGAACCCCTAAAGTGGCCTCATTAACATCAAAACAGCAAGCAGAGACACAGCCAAGACTAACTCCTGATTTCCAAATTCAGACTATTTCTCTTCCAGGGAGACAACTGAGAAGAGTATTTTATTACTTAAGCATAACTGACAGTTAAATTTAGATGATGACAAACCTGTAATAGCATCCATTTTATGATTCTTAACTCTTTAAACTGTGACCAAAACTGTACCAAATCTATTTCCAAAACCCAAAAATTCTGAGCAGACTTAGAAAATCTGAAATAAAGAAAACTCTCAGATCTTTTTTTCCCTACCACTCAAGTGTTCAGAAATAAAAGCTAAAGAACAAAATTCCCTTTTTGAGACTGTTAAAGGAATAATTGGGCCCAATGTAGTAAGACCTTATAAAAGAGTGTCAGACATGTTCTCAGAACAGAAGCAAGTCCAGGTGAACGGTGGTTTTGATTCAACAGCAAGAAATGCTTAACAGATCATGAAGCACCAATGACAAAGGCAGCCATAGAATTTAGTGTTCTGCCTTATCACACCGTAAAAACAGAAGCTCATTACTAAATTCCAGATTGAGGAGTCACTGGCTACAAAAACCCTCTCAATCCCAATCTGTTACTTTAAAAAGAAGTGCAGTTGGTACCTCAAAGGGTTCCAGCAACTTTGGACGGTTGATATCTGACCTAGGGAGCTTAACTAGAAATCATAACTACACCCTGAATACTCAGATGTCCATTTCCACTGGCACTAAAACATTCCTAATTATACCAGGTATATTGAAGATGCAAAAACAGAAGATAGGCAAACATCTCATTCTTCTGTCACATTCTTGTGAAACACCTGCTCTCAGCAGGTATAGGACTGCTGAGGACTGCTTTGGACTTCAGGGGATACACAACGCCTGCCATCAAGTAGCGATGAGCCCAACCAGGAACAGAAACCAACAAGCAAACAGTATTTATTAGTTAAAGCACGAAGCACTGGGGCTAAAGGGAATCCCTAGAAAACAACTCTGACTGTGAAGGAGAGAACTGGAGGGGACCCGAAAGGCTTCCAGATATAAGGTTCAGAGGCAGAGACTGAAGAAAGCATTTCAGACACTGCTGACAGCATGAACAAAGACAGGAGGAAAGCCTTTAGCAGATAGGGAGAACACAAACATTGCAATTTGGCCAAAGCCTAAGCCTGATGAAGAATGCAACCTTCTTTTTTCAATTAAACTCAACCAATGCATTTTTCACATGCTCTGCTTTAATGCAAACACACCCTGTTCTGCTTACAAATATCCCTGTTTTTTAAATCTTAAAGGGAAACAATTAAATTATTATTTGTATTTATTCAACTAATTTTTAGGTTGGCATGCAAAGTAATGAGTTTCATATGGCATCTTCATTTATATGGCATTATACTTTGTTCTCATTCACTCCCCTCCCACACTGTCCTCCCTACACTGTCCTCCCTATGCCTCCTCCCACCTCCAGCTGGTTCCTTTTCTTATGCTCTCTGACTGCACGTAACCCATTACTGTTTCTATTCCACACCTACCTTAAGAGCTCTTCCTCCCCTATCATGATCCCTTCTCTAGTTTTGTGACCTAAAAACACACATACACACACACATATATTTATTATTTAAAATCTAGGTTCCACATATGAGACAGAATATGTGGTATTTGTCGTTCTGATTCTGGTGTATTTCACTTAACAATTTCAGTTGCACCTATTTTCCTGCCAATATCATGATTTCATTCTTTACAGATGTATATAATTCCACTGTGTAGGGCTGGAGAGATGTCTCAACAGTGAAGAGCTAGTACTGCTTTCTTCAGTTCCCAGTACCCACACTGGGTAGCTCACAACTGCCTATAACTCCAGCTTCAAGGGATCTGATGCCCTCTTCTGGTTTCCATGGGCACCTGCACTCACCCCCCCCACACACACACAAACATACATGCATATGCATAATTAAAAATAAAAATAAATCTTTAAGAATTTCCATTGCGTATATGTAACACATTTTCTTTATTTGTTCACCTGCTGATGGAC